TTCGGAAGGTATTCTTCTATCGCAATTGATGCATATGTGATCACTTAAGGTTATACATGCTTTATAAGAACAATAACTTAACTTAATATGACACACATCTTTGCAATGAGATTAAATCGCTTTAAATCTGCTAAACTATTATTAATTATCGTACATCTAAATGGAACGCCTCAAGTCCAGATAAAAATTATCTTTCCTTCAAACACTTCTCTTTCCTGTATAACGTGCTTTTATAATCCAAATTGAGATCTTAACTATAAGTTTTCAGGAAAAAGAGACATATTTGTAATGTTTCTATTGATCTCTTCATAATCTTTCTTGTTATTGTATAAAAATATTCTGTATTTTCAGGCAGTATGTGCAATGATGTGGCTGAAGAGCAGTTTTCATAAAGTGAGACACTTTTCCAGAGTGTCACCTCCACTACCTAATTGTGTTGTTCGAGTTTCCAACAACATAACTCATTTGGGTCATCCTAAATCTCCCCACAAGCCACGTCAGCTTTTATCATTACCTCCACTGCCACCTCATCCTCTACCTGGAAAGAATGCTTCTCCTGATTCTCATATCACTGCCATTAGCTGGATGAAGTATTACTTTGCTGATGTCACTCCCTCTGTCATCCAATCACATTTTAACAAGGGTCTTGTGAAGATAGAGTGTCATGAAACAAAAAGCTTGAAAAAGGTATAAAATCAGATGCCATTAAAGATTTTAGTCTTACATAACATAATATAATATAACATGGTGATGAATTTGTTTTAGTTTGATTTAACAAACAGATTAAACATAATGAAGTGATGAAAATGGGTTCTACACTTCATGTGGCTGTATCTGTTGCTGAATCTAGAATCTCAAAGAGATTTGATACAATTCCAACTGCATCTTTATCTCCAAATGCAGATGAAATTCAATATTTGCAAAGACTTGTTATGTATAAGGCATGTCTTTCTTTATTTCTCTAAACCCTAAAAAAGAGAAATACTTTTTTTTTAGTTCATTGATGACATGATAATGAAACTTTAGGATTCTGCTCTACTTGTTTTGAATAAGCCACCAAAGGTGCCTTTAAAGGTTAGTTCATAATGAACTTCATTAGGTCAGATTTTATCTTTTATTTTTCGTTAATTATATTTGTATACATAATTATGTTATAGGGGAATCTTGCTGTTCATAACAGCATGGATGCACTTGCAGCTGCAGCATTATGTTATGATTATGATGAAGGCCCTAAACTGGTAATCAATTTTATCTCATGCATAAGCATAAAGGATTGTGGCATTTTTGTAAATATGTGAGCATTGGATTGTATTTATGTAAATAGGTTCATCGTCTTGATAGAGAAAGCAGTGGGATTCTGTTAATGGGAAGAACAAAAGAGACCATATCTTATCTTCATTCTTTGTTTACTGAAACAAAACCATCACTTAAGGTATATTATAAATTCTAGTATATTATAATCCACATTTTTTTTTTAAACTATAAAAATCAATAACAACTTTTAGGCGTTGAATGATACGTATCAAAGATATTGGGCACTGGTGATAGGTACCCCAAAGCAAAAACAGGGTATAATCCATGCCCCTCTCACAAAGGTTTTTTTTTTTTTTTTTTTTTACACATTTTTTGTTATAATTATGACAAAAAAAGAAGTGAGGGCATTTTTGTAAAATGTTTACAGGTGGTGCTTAATGGTGGAAAAGCGGAGAGGGTAATGTTGGGATATGGTTGTAATCTAGAAACTTCCCAAGAGGCCGTCACAGAGTATCGGGTGCTGGGCCCCACAATAAATGGTTGTTCGTGGCTCGAGTTGAGACCACTCACAAACCATAAGCATCAGGTATATAATATATTTTTGATTTAAAAAATATAATGGAAAAATAAATATAAATAAGGGTGGTGATCAGATGCGAGTGCATTGTGCGGAAGCTTTGGGGACACCAATTGTGGGGGACTACAAGTACGGATGGTTTGTGCACAGCAAATGGAAGCAAATGGCAAGGACCGATTATGAGCCCACAACTGGGGAGCCTTACAAGATGAGAAGGCCCGATGGGTTGGATGTTCAGAAAGGAAGTGTATTGTCTAAAGTACCCTTGCTACATTTGCATTGTAGGGAGCTTGTTATTCCGAATGTTGCCAAGCGTCTTGAGGGTAAAAATGTAAAATCCAAGCCGGATGTTCTTCGATTTGTGGCACCCATGCCTTCTCATATGAAGATTAGTTGGAATTTAATGTCGTCTTATTTGGTTTGACTTTGACTTTGACTTTGACTTTTGTACATTTTTAATGTTTTAAATTATTCAGGTCCTATGTTTGGTTTAATAAGACGAAGGTTTATAATTCAAAGATTATTAGAAAAACATATGGATGAAGGTTTTTATAAAGGTCATCTTTTAAAAAAAACAACACATCTTAAAAAAACTCATACCTAGCATTTTCTTCTCATCAAACTTTTTTATTATTAGTATTTTTTATTCTTTTTTAGTTTAATGGTTTCATATAATTAGACAAGAAATTATAATTTTTTAATCCATTATCTAATTATTTAAATCATATTATTTGTTATTATTATTTTTTTTTAAATTGTTTATTTATCTTTATTTTTGTGATTTATTTTTTCTAACATTTTTTTAAAAATATTATTGTTTTTTTTTTTTTTTACATTTTGTTTATTTACATAATTTAATTTTTTTAAGTGAAATTATTTGCATGTTTTGTTCCGAACAATGTGGTATACCATCAGTTAAATTGTCTCAAAGACGAAGAATCTTGTAAATAAAATTACATATACACTTTTATGGTAAAAGAGGAAGATGTTAAGTTGTTAGGCTGAAGGGTGTAATGTCTTTTTTTATAGATTGCCACATAAACTAATGATGACATCTTTATAATTTTGGGAAGCCATTTTAAATATACACATAATTCATCCATTGTTTCTTTTAAGAAAATCATAAGTGTCTCAATGTCAATATAAAATCACAATCATAAGTCAAATCCTAGAATCCTCAAGCATAATCTCCAACATATGTGTACAATCATGTCGGTGCTTTCTCACGATCCTCGGATGTACCTGAAACACATAACACATAACACGGTAAACATAAAGCTTAGTGAGTTCCCCAAAATACCACGTACAAACAATTAGCCACTCGAGGCTATAACTCTGGAAAACCCTCTGGTCAATGTGTCTCAGTGGGACCTTCCAGTCCCACAACTCGTTAGACCCTCTGGTCCGGTTGAGAACCCTCCGGCCTGATAATTCGTTGGACCCTTCGATCCAGTCTAGGCAACACATAATATATCATAGAATACATATCACACAAACATGCATAACTCAAGTAAGCAAATAAGACCCTCTGGTCACACACACAGTTACCACTCTAGGTAAAGTATAGTGAGAAGACTCACCTTAAAGTAAGCAAGCTAATACACCTTGTACACAAATCACCAAAACAGCCTTCGCCTAATATAAATGATGATTATCTCTAATTAGACCAATTATTCTAATAAGCTCCTACTAACCCTTCTCTAACTCTTGGTAAGGGTAAAAGACTATTCTACCCTTCCATGGTCTCCATCACTCATAGATAGTCTAAACTCCAGAAGTTAATAGAAGTCAATTTGAGTCAACAGTCCATGTTGACTCAACTCGTTGAGTGCACCGGGAGGACTCGTCGAGTCCCTTCGCTCCCTCATAGACCTCTTGAAACAAACTCTACTCGCTTAGTAGACCCGCCTACTCGTCAAGTTGCAATGTATTCAGACTCTATCGAGAAAACCCTATTTGACTCGGTGAGTCTGCACAGGGACTTGGTGAGTCCATCCAGTCCATACTCCCATTCAAACGTTTTAGGGCAAACCTATCACTCCAAATACTAGCTCTGGGCTCCCTAGGCTTGAATGTCACGTAAAATTTTGATCTTTATGTCCATGCATGACATATATGCTCCATAATGCCATTACAAGCCCCAAAAAGAGGTTAAATACACATGAGCTTGCCTCCAACTCAATAAAGCTCGAATATTTGGACCCTTAAGGTCCTCTCTAGTCCAAATCTGAGGTTCTAACCTCAAACCATAGCCATATAGCTCTAGAGCACAATATGTTTAGAGAAAACCCTAAAAGCTTCCTAAAATGGCATCTAACGAACAAGAGGCCAAGATGAGAGCTTTTTACCTCAGAATAGCAGCTAATGACAGAAGAATGCAAGATCCACAACCTCCTCTTGATTGGATCTACCAAACTCTTCCAATATTTCCTCCAAGAAGCTCAAGAATGCTCAAAATGGTCTCTTTCTCTTTCTCTCTCTCTCTCTCTCTCTCTATATATATATATATATATATATATATATATATATATATATATATATACACACACACCATGAAAAGGCCATGTTAGGGTTTCTTTCTGTGAAGTGTGGCCGCCCAAGGAGGCTATAAGTGCCTTTAAATAGGCTCCAAACCTGAGAATTTAGGGTTTCTCATACTAGTGCCTACTCGACGAGTCTACTCTCGGACTTGTCGAGTAGATCATTAAACTTACGTGTCAAACCCGCTTCTACTCGGCGAGTCATAGTGCCAACACGTCGAGTAGATCAATGATCCTTGAAAAATAAATAATAAAAATAATATACAAGGAAATCTGGATGTTACAAGCTAGGGGCTCCTTCGGTAGCCTCTTGGTGATTCTTTTTCGATCCGATCAGCAAAAAACACGAAAAAGGGAAGGGGTAATGCAAATTAACGACTTCAGGGGGTGTTTTGTGTGTGCATGTGTGTGTCAGATCTAATAAACCCAGATTTGTTCCCATGTTCATCATTTTCCTAAGCAACTGATGCAAACCTAAACCCCCTTTCCAATCAAGTAACAACCAACATAAATTAATTTGTAGATCTTGAAAATAAGGAAGAAGAAAAATTAAGAGGCCAACCCTCCTTGGATTGAGAAGGCGCAGAAGTGAACTCTATATTTGTGGGTTTGAAATAGCTGGAAAACTCATGCTTAGTGGAGGCTCATTGGAGAAGATAACTGAAAAGCCACCGGAGGTGAGTAAGTCGTCGGAAACCTTCAACAACAGGTTGAAAACCCACTATTAACAGTTATATTGATATAATGTATATGTTTCAACAAGTTCAAAGGTTAATAAAATACGAAAAATAATTTACTGACCAAAAGCTAAAGTATGTTACCCTCTCAAGTCATTATCCCTAAAAACTAATAACTTAACTAATATAATAATAAAACAATATTAAAGCATTTAAGCAAAAAGTATTATCTATAATTGATATAAATATCAATAAAAAAAATATAGATATTAATAATAAAATATAAAATTCATAAAATATATTTAATTTTAATTGATTTTCCTAAGGCTATGAGAGAGGACTCGACACTCTCGGTATGAGCTAAGTCAACTCAACACATACAATGCCTTGAGTTCGACTTGCCGAACTAAGCAGTCTAAGTGTTGGAATTCACAACCAAAATATATGGAATCATGGCTAATTTTTGACTATTTTTTGAAAAATAATTAGCAATTTTGACTATATTTATAAAATTTTCCTTTTTAAATGCCTGAAGGTAAATAAAAAAATTAGCTCTCCAAATCACAACTTATTAAGTGAAATCGCAGGCGTTGAGCTGCTATATGATATTTTACTAGGTATAAGACCCATATATTACATCAGTTTGTTTAAAACAAAAAACTAAATATAAAATTCTAAACATTTGAGAAGTTTGAATTTATAAGAAAAATGAAAAAAAATATATTGAATTACAAAAATTAAATTATTTTTTTCTCTAAATTTAAACAAATAATTTAGATAAATAAATAAAAGAAATTAATGAATCTTTAATTTAGTAATATTGAAATTAAAAGGAAAGTTCATTAAATAAAACTAATATGTATTTATTATTGTATTTAAATACTATGTAAAATAAGAATTAATTCAAAATAACCACAAAATGACATTGAGCAAAATAAATGAGAGTTTGATAAGTGATAAAAAAAACCTTCATTTATTATTGATTATTTTAATTATTTTCTTAATTTTTCTTTATTTCCAAAAAACTGTCTTGATTTTTTATTATTATTATTATTATTATTATTTTTTAAGAAAACAATGAACCGAACTAAACCAAACCATTCTCAACCATGCTCCCATTCTAGATCTGTGTCTTAACAGGCCCCAGCCATCTGAATAATAAACGCAAGCCTCACTACCGTAGCCCTCTGTCCATCTCTTACTCTCTGCGCGTCGCAGCCTCCGGCCTCCGCCCCTGCTGCCGTCGTGCTCCGCCACTCCTCCCTGCTCCACCGCGGCCAGTCCCCTGCCGCTGCAACGGTAAAGTGATTTAAATTTTGATGTAATTTTGCGATTTTTCGTATAAATGTGTTAATCTATTATCATTTGTTAATTTCAACTGGCGATAAATAGTTATTTGTTAATTATTAGGGTTTGTTAATTGGCCGAATTTTAGTTTTAGGGTTTGTTGTTAGCTTTTCTACTTAATATTTTGTTAGGGTTTGTTGAAAATCAAAATTCTATTGTTAACCGAGGTTTGTTGAAAAAATCAAATTTTTGGAAGGTAAGCTTCTATTAGAATCGATGCATATGCGAGCACATGCTTTATAAGAACAATAACTTAATATGAAGCACATCTTTGCATTGAGATTCAATTCCTTTATAGCTGCTAAACTATTATTGTACATGTAAATGGAACTCTTTCCTTTATCATCACAATCCAATTTGGGATCTTAACAATAAGTTTTCAGGCGAAAAAGACAAATTTGTATATTTTTCTCTTGATCTCTTCATAGTCCTCATTCTTTGTAATCCCTGTAACAAAGACAAGTTTGTAATCTTTTCTCAAATCTCTTAATATGCTTCCATGTTTTGTTAATGCTACTGATATTCTACACTGATTTACTCTTTGTTACAGTGTTACTCCCCATCAACCATGATTTACACAGCTATCGATACATTCTATCTAACTGATGAACAGCTTGAGAACACACCTTCTAGAAAAGATGGAATAGATGAAGCCACTGAAACAACACTTAGAATATACGGATGTGATCTTATCCAAGAAAGTGGCATTTTACTCAAGGTGTATCCTTTTTTGTGTTTCTTATGGAATACTATTCAAAATCTATACTTCTTGACAAGTTGTTACTTTATAATTTCATCATATCTAAAGACCCTTAACTATAATATCTCACACAGACCACAACAAGTAATGGCCACAGGTCAAGTTCTATTTCATCGCTTCTACTGCAAGAAATCTTTTGTTCGATTCAATGTAAAGAGAATTGCTGCAAGTTGTGTTTGGCTTGCTTCAAAACTAGAGGAAAACCCTAGAAGAGCAAGACATGTCCTCAATGTTTTTCATAGAATGGAATGTAGAAGAGAGAATCTACCTATAGAGCATTTAGATGCATTCTCAAAGGTATTTAATTTTGTTTTCTTTAAGCACTTTTTGTGTATGCTTATGTTGTTGACACTTGACATATCACATATGACAGAAATATACAGAATTGAAGATGGATTTGATTCGATCTGAAAGACATTTGTTAAAGGAAATGGCTTTCATTTGTCATGTGGAACACCCTCATAAATTCATATCAAATTACCTTGCTACCCTTGAAACACCCCCTGAGTTGACTCAAGAAGCTTGGAATCTTGCGAATGATAGCTTGAGAACAACTTTATGTGTTCGATTCAAGAGTGCAGTGGTGGCATGTGGTGTTGTATATGCTGCTGCTAGAAGATTCCATGTCCCCCTCCCTGAAAATCCTCCATGGTGGAAAGCTTTTGATGCTGATAAATCAGGTATAGATGAAGTTTGTAGAGTTTTAGCTCATTTATATACTCTACCAAAAGCACAATATATACCTGTATGCAAAGAAGGTGGCTCATTCACTGTGTCTAATCGCTCTTGGGATTCCCCCTCCCAACCCCTTCCCAAGGTCCTCTCCTCTCTCAAAACTACGTAGTTTTGATCCCTTTTTTTTTAATCTAGTTTTGTTTTGATTTATGGTTTTTGTGGTGTAGGAATCACAAATGATCGATGATGCAAATGTAAACAAGGTGTCTGTGGTGTCGGTGTCTCCGGCATGTGTGATTCTGGAGAAAGCCGGAATCGGAATTGGAATTGGAAAGGGGAAAGATTCAACAAAGAGTGATGATGTTGATGAGAAAGTTGAGAATCAGAGTGTTGTTCCGATTCCGGTTGAGGGGGAATCTGTTTCCAAAAGCAAAGAAAGGGAAAGGGAAAGGGAGAGATATAAAAGAGGGAGGGATTCGGAAAGGGAAAGGGAAAGGGATGATAGAGAAAAAGTCAAAGATAGGAGTCATCGGTCAAAGGATAGAGGAGGAAAGGATTCAGGTTACTTTTGCTTATTCCATTCCTTTATCCATTCGATTCCATTCCTTCCAATCAAACAAGTTTTATCTAATTTTTTAATTCCACTCTTTTTCAACACACAGGACATGGTGAAAAACCGAAACATCATTCTTCACGAGGTACATAACTTAAAAAAAAAAATCTTTTTAATTTCCCTTTTAATAATATTATCTACCAAATTTACAATTATGCCCTTTACAGATCGGGACTATCATGGCTCGACGTATTCCTCAAGGGAGAAGGATCGACACAGACATCATTCGTATGGTTAATATTTGCTAAAAAGCTTTCCATGTTCATATCTCTTATATCAAGTTTGTGAGGTTTATTGACATTTTTACCCTTAATAGTTTACTCTAAAACATCTTTCAATTTTTTTTTTGACATGTAGGGATGTTGTAATTTTGCAATATCTCAGAAGTTTCATTCTAACTTTATAAAAGGACTATTGTGTTTTAATTATATCTTCTTGACAAATCGTGATTTAAAAAGTGAAAAAATATATCTTCATAGCGTAACATGTTGAATCATAGTGAATTATATAAGGAAATTATAGTCAACGATGATGAATAGGATTGTCACTAATTTAATTTAGTATAATAAAAAGATCAAGAGTTGAAGTGGAAGTGAGCAAAATGTTATGATTGCGTTGAAATGATTATTAGATAACGTTAAGATTTGCCATAAAGGATAATATAGTTAATTATTTACTAGTATCAGTTTACTGATACTACTCAAGTATGTGTGCATGAGTTTTGAGATAAGTTGTTGATTTCATTTATATATTAAACAACTCTATGAAGTTAATGCTGTCGTTTATTATAGTTAAGGGCTTAATAATGACTAGAATTATCATTGGTTGAACTTTTGAGAACAATAACTTGATACTTACTTTTTTGAAGGGTCGAGTTAATATCAAGGTAGCAAGAAGTTTGAAAACGAAAATAATTACAAACAGGAATTTGTTATGGATTAGTTTTGCGAATGACCAACTTAATTGACTTCAAATTTGGACTCCAATTAAACGATAAGATTGAGACACGATTTTATCAAACATCGTGAGGTTTATGGGTTTTGTAGACCCGAAAAGCATATTGGACTGAAATTTTCAAATGGACCAAATTATTTGTTAAACACATAAATTCCCACGCCCTATAAGCCTCCAAGTCAAGTGGTTATTATTTTTTAACCGAAAAATATAAATATATATATATATAATCTATTTTTAAACTAACACTTAATTTCATTTACCTTACGAAACTTAAACTCTTGACTTCAAAAATGAATGAAACCACAGGTTATAAAACATTTGGTCAAGTCGGCTAAATAACAAGAAAAAGAAAATCTGTCCGATAGTCTCCTAAATTTGAGTCATATTAAGGTAATTAAATCATTCCACATCGATATCTTTCTTATCCACATTTGCTATTGTAGGGATATAGAGGTGGTTTTTTGGATTTTAATAACAAAAAATTATTTTTTAATAAAAATGTTTATTAGGTTATTCAGTATTATTTCTAAAAATATTTAGATTGTTTAACATAGTAGCAAAACTTTGTAAGCTAATAAACATTTTTTTTTGAAATGTTTGGAAAAAACACTATATATGTAAAATGACAATAAAAAGAAAGAAAACATGATTAATCTATTTGTGTTTGTTTATATATATATATATATATATATATATATATATATATATATATATATATATATATATATATATATATATATATATATATATATATAACACTTTTATCTTTAATCATTTATAATATTTTTTTTGATAATAACCTTTTTTCTTTATTTTATAATTTCAATAATTATTTATATAATCTTCTTATAATTTTATTAATTTCTCTAATAGATCGTATATAATAATCTTATTGACAAAGTCTTTATCTATATGTGTGAATTAGTAAATGTCACAAGCTTACGATAACATTGTAAAAGAATACAATACCTAAAATAGTAACATTATATTTATCTTGTCGTTTTACCGCTGAAGTGGTGCCACTATGGTCTTTTTTATAGACGGAAAACATAGTCATATCACATGTAGCAGGTTAAAAATAAGGACCTTATTGTCATTTCATCTTTAAAAAGCTATAAGCCCTTTCAACAAGTTACACGAGAATGACTTCTCAAAAATTTCTTATTAGAGGCGGCAAAGGAATTCAAACAATCAAATTTGAGCGGGGAGGGTTTAAGATTTAATATTAAATATAAGTTTGAGAAAATGACCATGAGATCCGTAGAGAGGGCTCTACGGATTCCTTTAACCCTCTACAAAAAGAGGAATAGTAACGAGGAACTGATGTAGTATGACTAAAAGACAAAAAAAGCTAGTGGATATCATAGTTCCGTAGAGGTGGCTCTGCGGAAGTCCGTGTACCTCTGCGGAAGTTTAAATTCTCTAAGAAAATGACGGTTGCTCATCTTCGACAGATCCGCAGAGCTGTCTTGTGGATCACTACAACACATCTATGAACTTGTTGATTTCTCTATGAAAATGATAGTTTTAGTCATGTTTAAGCATTAGTTGATGTTTTTATATGTTTTTTTTTCAAGTTATTATCGTTTTTTTATGACTTTTAGTGATCAGAAACGATTTTATTATTATTATTATTTATTTTTGTGCTTTAATCACTAGAAGATGTTTTTTCGTTGTCTTTGGGGATAGTGTTTTATAAAAAACGAGTTTTATTATTTTGTGTACTGGAGGGTTTTGGCTACCCTAACAAACATATAATTAATTCAATAACATATTTTTAAATTTTATACCTCACTTCGATTGGCCATTACGGTTTCATACAATTTCAAAAAGAGGAAAAAAACTTACATGTGTTCTATAGCCATCGGATAACACATCCGAGTGTAGTTGTTCCACAATACGCGATCTCCGCACCATCGGAACGATTGATTCAACGTGTTTCGATTCAACTCCTTCCACTTTTCGCAACAAATTTCCGCAGTTAGGGTATTATGAATGAGGTTTTTTTTTTGGTAATTTTACGATTTTACCCCTTATTCGAACGATCCTCGGTGAATAATTGCGATCCCTAGAGGGTTAAATGGATTTGCAAAGCCACCTCTGCAAAACCATGATACCTACCAAATTTTTTATCTTTTAGTCTTGCCACGTCAGTTCCTTGTTACTATTTCCCTTTCTGCAGAGGGTTAAAGGGATCCGCAGAGCCCCCTCTACGGATCTCGTGGTCATTCTCCAAAACTCACATTTTCATGGTTAAATTCTTAACCCCCCACCCCCTTTAAATTTGGTTATTTGATGAATTCTCCCATTTTAAAATTTCCAAACATTCATTTTAGATTGTAGTTATGGCCAAAAGTTAATAAACTAATAAGTCATTCTGAAACAGACACCCCTAACTTTGATTGGTAGTAACTTGCTCCCTATATTAGCTTTGTCTCACACATCGAGAGCCGTATAATCAATATATCGTTTTGTCGAAAGAGCCATAAACTTATCATTGGCCTTTAAGGATCACCTCCAACTATAAACGATAGTAGTAGAAGATGATTCTAGAAGATAATATTATTTTTGTTAGTTAGTTTTAATCTTCCTATTATTTAGGATCTATAGTTGTACTCCTGTAAATTAGTGTTATTTGTTTCCTTTCCTTCGTGTATATATTCCGTATCATTTTCTCTTTCAATAATAAGGTTTGATATTTTCATACCATCGATCTAGAAAGGTGACACAAGCTGGCAGAATGGAGAACTTAAATAGCTTCCCATTGAGAAATTTCACCCATATCCCTCAACCTCTATGAACAAATAATTCGATAATCAAGATGAAATCGAGATTGCATAATGCATGTAACAGCCAAAAGTTGGTATGTCTTGTGACCCTCGAGAATTCTCATTTTTGCATTTTTGGTCCTTTGAGTACGTTGGGCGTACCTATGGGTACGCTTAGCGTACTCTGCCTAAGTGATCGCAAAGGAGACCTGCGTACGCTGGGCGTACGTGGGGGTACGCGGGGCGTACGCGTCTGAAGGACTAAACCTTAAATCTCGGACTTTTTCCCTATTTAAACTCCTTTTGGCCTCTTGGACCAAACCCTACTAGTCTCTTTAGCCCCATTTCGTCTTCCTTCAATTGAGTTAGAGTGTGAGAGAGTTTTGGAGCCTAAGAAGAGGGTTTTGGTGGTTACTTTGGAGTTCTTTCAAGAGGGAGAGTTGTTAAGCAAGCTTGGATCAGTTGGGTGCTTCAAGGATCTACTTTTAGGTCATCTTGCAAGGCTTCTGGAGGTAAAAGCTTGTACCTTTCCTTGTAAATCTTTAGATCTAGCTAGGGTTTTCTAGTTTGGCCCCTTTTGTGGGACTTTAGACCTCTTTTGGCAAGATAAGCAACTCCAAGAGAGGAGAATGGCATATCTGAGGTCCCTTAGTCGTTTTAAAGTATAAAAGTGGAGTCTTGATGGATGTGTTGGTCACATGTATGGGTTAAGGGCTTTGGCAAGGTCTTAATGAAGGTTTTGGGTGTATGGGAGGCATACAAAGGCATAAAGTTGGCAACTTTATGCCTTAGGACGTATTAATAAGCTCAGATATGGCTTTTGGACGTAAAGAAATTGATTATTAAGCACTTAATGGAGAAAGTGCTTAGTCTGGAAGAACACTGGGCGTACTCAATGTACGTTGTGCGTAGTCCTTAAAGATCCAGTACGCTGCGCATACCAGAATAGTATACCGAGCGTACGCACTACAATTTGGGCCAAATTTGTTTTGGACCTTTGTGATCTTGGGCTTCATTTTTGTTACTGGGCTGGTTGTATTCTGTGAACTGTGGTCCATTATTTCTATTATGGGCCATGAATACTTTGGGTGGGCCTTATTAGGCCAAAAGGCCCATTAATGACTTTGGACTAGGACTTTGGGCCCATTAGCAAGGGAAGGGTATTTTAGGCCTCATGGAAGGATTTGGGTTTGGGTTTTCCTGGATTAATTTAAGATCCTAACATTGATTAATATAATTTGTCCAGTTCGAGAGGTTGCAGACTGTTAGGAGAACAGCTTGTGTGTTCAGCAGACTGAGGTGAGTCTTCTCACCATACCCATGGGTCTAAGGCACCAAGACCGGCCCATTATGTGTTTATCGTATATGTGTAGTCACTCTGTGATTTGTTATGATATGTGATCGTGTGTTTTGCATGAAGACCCCGCGGGGGGGGGGGGGGGGTGGGGGGGGGAGGAGCCCATGTTATTGGATATAAGACCATGTGGGGTAACCCAAGATAGTCCTAGGTAAAGACCATGTGGGGTAGCCCATGACATTGGATGTAAGACCATGTGGGGTAGCCCATGGTAGTCCTAGGTAAAGACCATGTGGGGTAGCCTTTATCATTGGATATAAGACCATGTGGGGTAGCCCATGGCAGTCCTAGGTAAAGACCATGTAGGGTAGCCTATGGCATTCTTGCTGGTTTTATGTATGCATAGATTATGTGATATGTGTGTAGCTTGATTAGCTA